CTATCGAGACGAATTGTGCCATATAAAACTCCTTTATTTGTAATAAATCGTTTAACTATGAATAATAGAGTTTCAATGTATTTGGATTTTGAAACAAAAAGTTTTGTGGTCAATGCTAACGAAACCCTCTTGGGGGAACCACGAGATGTTATCAATCGAGTTACAAGTATCGAAGTACACCGAAACTGGCAGAACTTGCAAGCTTTAGGGGAGACGTCCCGCTGGACGTCATCGGAAGCTCAAAAACTCCGTCAAACTTTCACCACGAATGCTATTCATTGTAATGTTCTACTTCCTTCATTTTAATAACTCTCGAACGATACATTCTGTATCAATGTTTCGTTTGAACAGTTTCACGATAAGCGTATCGAGCGAAGAACATTTTAACTCGGAAATAGTTTGAAATTCTAGTGGTAAAATTTGAAAGCCTTTGTTAGATCTTAGAAATGTTATAGCGAGATTAGAGTATTTGTCAGTACAAATTTTTAGCGATGCAATATTTTAACAGTCTTTCGTTTCATTAAACACATTTGTCGTTTCAAATCAATAGTTCTTTACTCGTACTACCAATAAGAGTTAAAAAGTCATTCTAGCCAGTATTTTTTAGTTTATTGTTAATTTTCAGATAGACTCAGAATCAGATTACAATTATAACTTGTAAACTCAATGTTGTTATTTTTTATCCCAATTAAGGTACAACGCATCAGATTTACCTTTACAATTTACATTTTCCAACAAAATGAATATATGTATCTGACTTCTAAAATACAAATAATAAACTAATTGAAATAATTTACTGTTGTAAATTTACTTTAAATAACATTCCAAATGAATCATGTCTAACCACATTATTTAATAAAAACAAGAGTTACACTCTTACAATATTCTCCAAACATCCCCATCACTAAAACTGACATATTCTTCGACATAGTTTCTTCTATCTGACTACCAGAATAAAAATAATAAACTAATTGAAATAATTTACTGTTCTAAATTCAGTTTAAATACCATTGCAAATAAAACAGATTTAACTACTAATTAATAAAAATAAAAGTTAGAAGGTAGGTATTCAATAAAAACAAAAGTTACAATATATTCCAGACATCCCCCTTACTAAAACGGACCAATTCTTCAAAATATTTAACTAAATGCAGTTTTATTACGGCAGACTGCTACATCCACGAATGTTACTGTTTCAAAACCTAAAATGAATTTAAACAGTGGACAACCGAAAGGAGTAATAATTACCGCCATAACACGAAAACAACAATTTTCCTCGTCTCCCGAAACGTCTCGAGCAGTATTTGTTTCGTGGCTTAATAGACGAGCCCATTTTCTGGCAAGGAGAACCCGCCGGATCTTTCCTTGGTCAAATAATCATAAATTCCGCGTTCCACGTTTCTTAATAATCCCGCTTTCGAGAGGGTGGAATTATCTAAATGAAATATTCAAGAGATCCACGGTTACACGTTCGTCGTGGTTATTGTACGTGAAAGGCGGTGACAAGAACGAATGAAGCTCGTTTCCAAGGGCCCGTCTCTTGTTCCGTTGCTTAAGTAAAAGGAAGGCAAAGGGAGTGAGTGAGAGAGAGAGTGGAAAAAAAGGAAACAGAAAGCGGTGAAGAAACGAAGAGGGAAAACTTCTCGTATTTTATCAGTCCACTTAACAATCCCCTTTATTCCGCGTGACAAACTCTGGCCCGAGGAGTCGCTCTTTGAAACTACAACTTTAATCAATTTTACCCCGCTTTCAATTCTGACCGTTGACCTCAAAATCAGAACCGAGAGAACGGGACGATGACTTTCTACCGATCTCAGAGCTAAGTAATATTCGTTATTTTTCGGTGCTCTCTTGCGCTGAGATGTGTGTGCGATATACACTGCTCAAAAGAAATATGGCATAGAAAAATTTTAGGCAAAAATTGGCCAAATTTGACTGATGATAACTCCGTGAAAAATCATCGCAAAGTTATGCTCTTTTTTTTTTAAATTAAAGCTTGAGATCTTCACTTTAAGACCCTGTAGTTTGATTTTAGATTTGATGCATCCCTACCACAATAATGACGTAAATGTGAGGTCATGTTTGCAATATTGAAAATTACAAAGTTTGACGAAATGCACGGATTTTTTTAGAGAAAAATCTCTAAATGATCAAAAGTAGTGATTTACAGGAAAGCACCCAAAAGCTAATATTTCCGAACATTTCAAAAGTAGTTTGTCCCGTTATACGAATTCGTGCGCGAACTTACGAAGAAAAGTTTAAATTCTTCAAGACGATCGGTCTCCTTTTCTATCTCGCTTTCGCGTCTAATTGGTATGAAAATTCGCGGAAAGAAGAATAGCGCGAATTACTGGAATTGAAAGCTCTACCGCGCCTCTTAATTACTAGGCCTGTGCTATTGGCGAATTCAGTCGTTGCGAACCAGCTCTGCGGAAACTAACGAATGTACTTGGCCGACTTTCTTTACTGTTTCGTGGAAACTTTCGTCGCGTACCTCAAACCGATGCATTTTCTCTGTTATTTTAGTCTGTTTTTCACCTGACTGTTACGCGATTTTACGATACAAGCGATTGATTGTGTCTTTCGAACAACCTGCATCGAAAACAAATTCGTAACCCTTTTCTTATGATTTGGCGGGTGCGTTAGAATTAACTAACTACAATATTATGTAATTTATTTAATAATATTTTTAATAGCGAGTTTTTTCTGATGAAGGACGATTTATTTATAACAAAAGTTTCCGTCAACAATTCCTCGGTTGCTGGATCGAAGCTCGCTTAAAATAAAGGCAGTGGTGCCTACTCGATATGTTCATACAGTGTCCAAAATAAAATGTTGACAATTAAAACGGAAAAAGAAAGTTGAAATGTTGTATCAATTTTGTATTCAGTAATCCACTATACAAATTATGAAATGAGTTTAAACTCCAAATTGAAGCATATTAAAAATTCCAGTAAGATTTGTCAAAGCTGAACAGTGAGGGCGTCACATGTGGAAGACGACATTGTACAGCAAGGGGTTAATAGTAAATTTTTACTTTAATTTTTCCGTATGGGTTGTAAATTTATGTGGTGTTTGACCAATTCTGTTAATATCTGAGTACGAACATAGTTTAAATAATTTTAACTCCGAATTGAAGCATATTAAAAATTCCAGTAAGATTTGTCACAGTTCAAGAGTGAGTGCGTCACATGTGAAAGGTGAGATTGTACAGCAAGGGGTTAACTGTCAATTTTTACTTTAATTTTTCCGTATGGGTTGTAAATTTATGTGGTGTTTGACCAATTCTGTTAATATCTGAGTACGAACATAATTTAAATAATTGTAATATTAATAATGACTAGGTTTTGTTTCTAATGTTTAATATTTTGCAACACGTTAGACATTAAATTGTGCAAGGAACATTTTCTGCGGTCAAAATTCACTCTAAGAGGGTGAAACGATCCCTTAATGCCGTTTCTTGATAAAAGAGAACTTTTAATGGGGAAAACGAATTACGTTACAGAATCTAACAAACTGCAAAAGAGAAAAAGGTACGAGAAATTTGACGAAGTTTAAGAGAGAACTCTGCTTTAGAAGAAATTTTGAAAGGAAAATGTGCTGTATAATTTCATGTATGTTACGGTTCTACAAAATTTTATTAAAATCTGAATTTTCACGCACGAGTTCTTTTTGTGAATGTAGATTTACTTGTGTAATGAAGACTAGGTCAAGACTTATTTTTTCATTTGAATACTATTTATGCTAATTTAACAAATATATGAGAACAACGTGCAGGTTTTATATAGTTACAAAAAATATAACTTCATTCTTACAATGGTTAACAATAGAAAAATTTTAGATCAAAATGAAATTATATTACAAGTTCTATCTTTTTTTAACTTAAAAGTTTATCATTTATTTTAGACTGAAAGTTGTATTACTTTCTCTATTTTTAATAATTTGACAAATTTAGTTGATTTACCCTATATTTAATTACAAACACCACATAATCATTCAATTATGTACATATATTTACAATTTCTCGAAGAAAATTATTCAGATCACAAATTATTTCATTTTCGATTTATTGTATCCAATTTGAAGAAAACAAGAATTCAGTAATGCGAGAAAACGTGTCAGTCGTGTAAATTTAAATAGAAATTTATTTAACAACATTTAAGATTTTCATTTTAACTAAAATATGAATATTTCCTTTGATCTAAAGGTAAATTTGTGACACTTGTTACTGCGTGTTGTGTCGGTTCGTTCAAAGTATTCCTAACAGTAAAAAGGAAAGACTGTTTTAATTTAATGATTAAAACTTCATTTGCTCCACTTAAATCGGTACCCGAGCTCGTTAAATCCTGCTTCACGAAGCTTTGCCAGACTTTATGGAGCTTTACGGTGCTTTTAAATAGCTTTGAAATTTTCGAACACGGTTAATTCTCAAAGTACTCGTGAAACGGGTAAATGTATTTCTTTGAGATACTATTTCATTTCGGAACGTTTGATTATTCTTCGAGGCGTGGTACTTTTATAATTCCTTTTTGTTTTTAGCTACAACTCGGATTTACGCGTTTCAACGTTTTAATCGGTCATTTAGCCTTCATAAATTTTATAAACTCATGCAAAAAATACGTATATACCTTGCAGTAATTAAATATCAATCGAATAATTTGTAGGTTCAGTTGATTTTTATTTTTCACGGAAGAGATTAAATTTTTATTCGATGCTTTGACCTGTTTTTGTATGATATTAATATATTTATTTACTAATAATGTTTTATTGATTTATGTTTTAATGTGTAAATTTTTATAAATGTTTATTTAATAAAAATGTGAATTTTTATAGCTATTTCATTGCTGGTGTATTAGATATTAATATAAACACATTTCTAAAACTAATCTTTATCATTTACGTTGAAATGCAAATGCTTGTTGAAATTTTGATCTTACACCTTCAAATCTCAATTTATTTCTAAAATTAATTAATTTCTATATTAAAATCTTATAACTGACCTTCAGAATCCGACGTATCAGACAATGGCGGCTCGTTGGCGATGTATTGGCGACCACTCAGTAAATTGTTTTCAACGATCGGTCTTTTATCCTCGAGCTGTCTCCTGAATCCACGATGATCATCCTGTAACATACAAGAAAAATATTTATTTAGGATTATACCTTACTTTCAGAATTGTTACTACACTGCAATTGCTACCATATTATAATTGCACATATCCATATTACTCAACTTGTTAGGTTAGCTAACAAGGTTAGGTTAGTTTTACTGCTTTTCATAGAAATATTCGACTACAAACTTTATATAGATCATTAAAATCACATACGACACAGAAATTAGTTCTTAAATATATAAGATCACAATTCAATCACTTTTGATGTATAAGAAAATTATTACCGAACAAGATCTGAAACTTTACTATTAACTGACCATTTATTACAACTATGAGTATGTAATATAACCATATACATATAAGGACCATATACATATAAGGACTCTATTTATAACATAGATTATTCGCACGAATGTCTTCAATATACAATTTCACAAACCAAAATTGACATTAGCAATCGTTGAGTAGAGCTGCATTATCTTTTTCAAGTTTAACGTCTTTATTTTTATAAAGATGTCAAAGTCAGCCTTTGTATCTTCTGTATTTAAGCAATCATAGGAAATGAACATTATAGTTACATTAATTTCTGTTTTTATTAATAACACACCCTAAAATGTCACCAAATATGATAAAAAGCCTACCCTTAAAAGACGATATATGTATTTGTCGAAGACAATGTATTTGTCGAATGTTACTACATAAATGAGTAATTTGAATGATTTGAATAATTGTCATCTATTGACAAAAACGATGTAACCGATCAACTAAGTAGAATTGTTATACTGATTTTATAACTGTAGCCACATTTAGAGGCAGACAACATTTAAGTGAAAAGGCGTCAAAAGACACCTTTTGGTCAAAATAGGTATACACAAAATCGTAGTAGAAATAATCTTAAAGAACGCTAACAGTTGTCTGACTTATTGTTTCTTCAGTTAACTTTGTCTCTAAACCCTCGATTTAAAAGTGTAGTCACCAACTCCAACCAGCAGAGGTTCATAAGCAACTTTTGAGCCTCGTGTACAGCCAACAGAATAAGTAGGGTAATTCGTCGGGTTTTCAAACGACAACGTCGACGACGAGCAGAACCATCAACGTCGTCTTCATCTCGACACGTGCATCCATAATATCGTTTGACACGGAACGTGGTCGGGAAAACAGCTTCCGTGCTAACGCAGGTTTCCGGTTAATGAGATTATCTCTTTGGTCGTCGAGAATTTAGACACCGGAAGCGCGAGATAAGTTTTTGCCGTCATCTTCTTCGTGCGGTATTTCCTGTTTTTCGCTTTTGTAACATGTTCATGTGACTTTCGTCGGACCTGGGTATCTTTCGAGCCGCGTGAAATTCTTGCAAACGAGTTGGAATAATTCACCTAGTTTCCGGCTGCGACGACCGGAAGGTCCTTCAGCGATGAAGGATCTTGTCTGCAGATGAAAGACCTCGTCTTACCTCGGTTAGATTATGAGAAGATGTTCTTGGTTCGTTTGAAATGCAAGGATTTTCACCGATGTTCAGGTCTGCTGACATTCGACATTTTTTAGACTCTGGCAGATTGACGGATTTAATCGGATGAGGATGGAGATTATTTAATATTTTGGTTTATGGCGAATTTAGGAATTGAGGAATTTAGAAATTTAGGAATTTAGGAATTTAGGAATTTAGGGATTTGGGGATTTGGGGATTTGGGGATTTGGGGATTTGGGGATTTAGGATCTTGGATATTTGGGGATTTTTGGAAATGCAGAGACTGAGGGTATAAGAAAATTTCAAATTTCAAATTTGGGGATTAAGAAATTTGAGAATATGAGAATTCAGAAATTTTGCAATTTAGGAATTTGAAGATTTAAGGATTTGTGAATTTGTGAATTTGTGAATTTGTGAATTTGTGAATTTGTGAATTTGTGAATTTGTGAATTTGTGAATTTGACAATTTGTGAATTTGAGAATTTGTGAATTTGACAATTTGTGGATTTGAGAATTTGTGGATTTGACAATTTGACAATTCGTGAATTTAAGATCAGTGCATTAAAGAATCTGAAGCACTGAAAATTTAGAAAACCTTAAAACTTAGAAATTTAGAAATATTTGAATATACATTCCCTGAAATTTTTAAAAATTGAAACGTAGACGTTTAAACATTCTAAAACGAAAATATTCAGAAATCTGTAAATATGAAATCAGAAGATTTAAATACTTGATAATTTATAAATTTGTCAATTTAAGAATCTACGTATTTAAAACCTAAAAATCTTGAAATATAAAAGAAATATATTTTGACCATTTTAGAACTGATAAACAAAACATTTCTGTTTCAGATTCCTATTTAGATACAGCTCGTTAGTTACGCACGATAAAACATAACATTACATTGGATTAAGTGTAATAAAGCTGATTTGGTAATAAAGGAAATGAGAACGACTAAAGTGTCATTTATTCAATTGAAGTTCTAGACATGTTCTAATTGGTCACGTCGAGATAATCACTTTATCAAATTGGTTATTGGAATGACGGGTTGATTAACTAAGGAGCGTGCTTCACTCTAACGTATTCAGCATGTTGCTGCTAGTCAAACTGTGTCTCCTTCGTAACATCTAAGTACTTAGGTTATAGTTAACAAACATAATACATATTCCTGATGTTTCTCATCTACGAAACCAATAATAGTCGGAAATACGTCAGGCATTTATATAAAATTATCTTGGTTATTATTGGATTGTAAAGAATTATCTTATATGTATACATAATTCGTGTTCCCCTAAGTGATATATGTATAAATAAACAATGTAATACATAGTTAGTAGTAAAGAAGATAGAGAAGTTAGAAGTAAAATAGCATATATAATAGCAAATAAAATGGCAAATATAATAGTGAATAAAATAGTAAATAAAATAATAAATAAAACAATAAAAAATATAGCGAATAAAATACCAAATATAATAGCAAATATAATAATAAATAAAATAGTAAGTAAAATAGCAAATAAAATGGTAAATATAATAGTGAATAAAATGGTAAATAAAATAGTAAATAAAACAATAAAAAAATATAGCGAATAAAATAGTAAATACGATAGCAAATATAATAATTTGGATTGTAAAGAATTATCTTATATGTATACATAATTCGTGTTCCCCTAAGTGATATATGTATAAATAAACAATGTAATACATAGTTAGTAGTAAAGAAGATAGAGAAGTTAGAAGTAAAATAGCATATATAATAGCAAATAAAATGGCAAATATAATAGTGAATAAAATAGTAAATAAAATAGTAAATAAAACAATAAAAAAATATAGCGAATAAAATAGCAAATATAATAATAAATAAAATAGTAAATAAAATAGCAAATACAATAACAAATGAAATAGTAAATAAAATAGCAAATAAAAACCGAAAGTAGAAAAATGAAATATTAAAATAAAAGAGAAATTAAAAATAAAAAGTTAAGAATATTTATCTAACGAACACAAATCGTTTCACCGATTTAACCAATAAAACAATTACTCTGACTTATCGAAGCAATTCGTATGCACAATATAAAGAAGAAATAAGCAGCGGATTCATTGTTCCCCATATTATAAATACACAAAGGGTCTTGGAACGCACTCGCCGTGCATTCTCAACGATTTGGGAAATATCGGCAATTAAAGGAAGTGCAATTTCCGGGAACGGTCGTGGAGCACGGAATCGCAGTTGCGCACGAACGAGACGCTCGTTGAAATCAATTGCTGTACGCGATAATCATTGTCGATCGTTGGCAATTTCTCGTCCTGGCAATTCCTTTTTGCCGGCCGTTCGTGAACGCGATCGATTTCGCGTTAAGCCGCGTTCGGGAGCAGCCTCGTCGCGTCGTTATGTTGCACATCGTCCGTTTACGATGAGAGCGCACTTCGCGTATGCACGTTGCTGCAAGCCGTTTCAATTTCACGCAGGAATACGGCGCAATAAAACCCTCGTCCTCCAAGATATCGATTCGTTGTTTTTCGAACGCGAAATCGATTTGTTATTCCTCGATCGCGGAACCGATTCGCGATTGGGGTATGTCGGATGTTCGTCAACGGGTTTTTAAGTTCAACCCTTTCAACGCTAGAATTCGCTATAGATAGTTATCGACAAATATGCAGAATTCTCAAATTCCCCAAATTCCAAATCCTCCAAATCCCAAATTCCCCAAATTCCAAATTTCCCAAATCCCATATTCCCCAAAATCCCACATTCCCCAAATTCCAAATTCCCCAAATTCCAAATTCCCCAAATTCCAAATTCCCCAAATTCCAAATTCCCCAAATTCCAAATTCCCCAAATTCCAAATTCCCCAAATTCCAAATTCCCCAAATTCCAAATTCCCCAAATTCCAAATTCCCCAAATTCCAAATTCCCCAAATTCCAAATTCCCCAAATTCCAAATTCCCCAAATTCCAAATTCCCCAAATCTCATATTCCTCAAAATCCCACATTCCCCAAATTCCAAATCCCCTGAATCCCAAATCCCAGAAATCCCAAATCCCAGAAATCCCAAATTCCCTAAATCCCAAATTTCCCAAATCCCAAATTTCCTAAATCCCAAATTCCCCAAATCCTAATTCCCCAAATCCCGAATTCACCAAAGCCCAAATCCCCCAAATCCCAAATTCCAAATTCTGCAAATTCTGCAAATTCTGCAAATAACCAAAATTCCCAAATTCCAAAATTCGCAAATTCTAAAATTCCCAAATTCCTAAGTCCCGCCTTTCCCAATTCCCCCAAAATTTCAAAATTTCTTAAATTTCAATTCTCCACAACTCATAAAACTACTAAATCGATCAAATCGATCGGTTTATCAAATTTTTATTATAAATTACAAAATTTATAAACTGATTTAATTTCAAATAAAAACAAACATTCAAATGCTATAAATTCTAAATAAAAATAAATACTGCCTATACATTTCAAATAACCATAAACATTGAAATACTATAAATTCGGAATAAAAATAAATATTGAAACATTATAAATGCCAAATAATAACA